CAGATACATATTCATATAACAAAGATGACCTGTGATGCAATAAAGACTGGATTATTCAATAAATTATTTTGGATTATTTGGGTATTCAGATGAAGAAAACCTAAATCTTGCCTTAATCTCACAATGTACATATCAAAAAAATCAGTTACAGTTGGGTATGAGATAAAGATGTGGTATTCTTTATGACATTCATTTAGGTAAAAATATTTTAAAGAAAGCAAACAAACAAAAGGGACTAACCATAAAAATGATATATTGAACTAAACATTAGATTTTGAAATGTAAATATTGCAGCTCATTTTCTCTGATTATAATGTAATAAAGCTAGATCTTAATAAACAAATTATAATAAGGAAAACAAAAGTTAAAAATGTAAACCCCAAATCCTAAGAAAATACTAATTTACTGAAATAATTGCAGTTACAATGTCAGATTATATAAAAAATAAAAACATTCTTATATCACAGCTAAAGTAAAATTAATTCTAGATGAAGTAAAAAAAAAACCCTCAAAAAGGCACTAAAATATTTTATAAGTAGAAAACATACTCAGCACTTTGGGAGGCAGATGTGAAAGAATTGCCTAAGCCCAGGGATTTGAGACTGGCTTCTGTAACTTGTTAAGATCTCATCTTTACAATAAACAAAAAAATATTAGCTGGACATGGTGGCATGTGTCTTAGTTCTGGCTACTTGGAAGGCTGAGGTGGAATACAAGCCTGAGCCCACAGGTCTAGACTGCAGTGGCTGAAATTGTGCCGCGGCACTCCAGGCTAGGCAACTGACTCAAAAACAAACAAATAATAATAAAAATAAAAAACAAGCCAACAGATGAATGTGGCTGTAAGGAAAATTATTTTAGAGTAAAATACCAACATTGAAAATCAGACTGGAATTAATTGATAATATCTCCTAGAATGTTGAAAAAATCTGCAAAAGCCTGGGTGTGGTAGCTCAGTTTGTTATCCCAGCACTTTGGGAGGCTGCGGTGAGAGGATTGCCTGAGCTCGGGAGTTCGACACCAGCCTGGGCAACTTGGTGAGACCTCGTCTCTACAATAAATCACAAAAAAAACTAGCCGGGCGTGGTGGTGTGTGTCTGTAGTTCCAGCTACTTGGAAGGCTGAGGTGGAAGGAGTGCCTAAACCCAGCAGGTCGAGGCTGTGGTGGCTGTGAGTGTGCCACTGCACTCCAGCCTGGGCAACAAAGAATGAGACTCCAACTCAAAAAAAAAAAAAAGGTGCAAAAAAACCAAACATTTAAAGAGACAAATTTGTAAGCACATTTTATCTCATAATAAAGCAATAAATTAATGTTTTTATTATCTAATCATTCAGGCAAAGCAATAAAAAAACACTACTAACAAAAAATGTTTAAAAAGCATAAAGAGCTAATTTACAAAAAAGATACACTTGTACACATATGGAATGATTACATGTTATACATTCATGAAATATGTGTATACTCATGCTTGCAAAAGCAATGAAAATTATCACAGTAATAAAATATAATTATTACTTATACAATTGGGAAATAATTATGTATGAGAACTCTTGGGAAAAAGATACTCTAAAACTACAAACAACAACAACAAAAAGTTTGAAATTTTGATGCTTCAAGCTTCCATACAAAGATGGTGAATTAAATAGTGATATTCAACTGGAGAGTGCAAAGAGATGGTAACCATTATGGATTCTGGAAAATATTAAGTGGAGAGCAAGCAGTTGTGAGTGTCTCTCAATTACTGGTGAGAGAAAAGGTTAAGTCCTTCTTTCCCCTTAGGAATAAATATCAGCTCCAGAAAGACGTGAGCTATTCCAGGAGGGTTCAAAAAAGAAACACATGAGCAAATATGTACATAGTTATGAAAAATCTTTCATTGGTCTCTTCCTGATGTTTTTGTGCTCATTGAGGAAACCTGAAAACCCAAGAGCAATTACTTCCCCTGAGAAAATAAATCAAGTTAAGTTCCTACCCATGTTAGTTTCTACTAACTGGCGCTTCAACTAGTTTGGTCCTTGCATAGATATGGACCACTCTTTCTCAACACTGTGTATCTATTCTTTGAGTGATGTCTTGCAAACTTGTGCCTGTATGTAGTGTGTACAAAGTGAAAGTTTTGGGGAAAAGAATCAGATGAGTTTTAATAGTGAAATGAATCACATACTGTAAGGTAAGTTCTTTAAAAGGTAGATTGTAACTTATTATTCTCTGCCTCCCTTATTTTCTTTATCTTGTACTTTCATGCTAAGCAATATTACTTAGAAAATGTTACTTTATCCTAATTTTGGCTATCTGGCCTCTCTAGATGATAGATAGATTAGATAGATAGATAGATGTAGATGGTAGGTAGGTAGGTAGGTAGATAGATAGACGATAGATAGAAATGAAGAATGCAGTTGAGGTACTATAAATACAGACAAAGTTGCTACAGCATAGACAAGCAAGTCAAACATTGACCCTACTGACTGAGTCTCCTGCCTTAAGTCTCAGACTTCCTTAAACTTCACATTTAAAAAAATTTGATATTTCATCAAATCTGAATGAAACTACCATTGGGGTCCTCCTGATACAATAAAAATTTCAGTTATATGTTTCAATTCTTGGAGTTCTGATCTCCATGTTGATAATTACAATAATCCTGTTTCTACTATGTATTTTCATATTATCAAAGCTGTAGTTGTGTAGCTTAAGCCACATTCCCTGAAGACAGGACACATTTCTGGACTCTGCTAGGAGCAGAGATTGTGGTTTCTCTTGTATTGGTGAACCAGTTTCATAGTATTACCCCATAGACATTTAATAATCTTCCTGAACTATGACAATATTTTGTATTCAGTCAAACACATCATTTCCACTTCAATTTTGATTGTGTAAAATATCAACTTTTCCTGACATCAGACTGACATAGGTCTTTCTTCTTGCTTTGATTCCATTTTTTCCTGTCTCATCTCATAAGTGTTAAATAAGAAACATAGACTTGGTGACATTGTCTTCTCTCATGAGAGCATTGCCAGGATTTGTGAATATGTGGGCTAGGGAAAGATGGGGGGACAAAATATAATCTCTAACAAAGCCAATATTAAAAAATATTTAGACATCTAGGGCAGAAATGGTATGAGAAAGCTGGCCCCTTTGCTGCAGACTGCAGTTGAAAGGGCATACGTGAACATCATGTTCTTAGAACCTTATAAAGGATGGCTAAAAGACAGGGATTCAGTCACAAATAAAGTTTGGCATGTTCTGGATCATTTGGGAGATTCTTGGAATCTCACTATGGAGTCACACTGAAATGTTTACCTGCTCTGAGAGAAACACCTTTAAAATGAGGCAATAATAGGGGTACCGATAACAGTACCAGGAATGAAGACTTTCTCAAAACTTAGCTTTGAAATACAGAGTGTTCTGTAAAAACGAAGAAAATTTACTTATTTTCTCATGCTAAGAAAAAAAGGTAATTCTGTAATACTGCTTCAAGGCACATGTGGTATGACTCACTATCATTTATTCAGAAGTTATCACCTACCAGAAACAGTGCTAAGTACTTTACATGCATCATCGTATTTAATACTTATAAATTTCCAGTGATGTAGGTGAGGTGACTAAGCCAAGTCACTTATGAGCAAACTAAATAAGATTTGGTGAAGGGTAGACTTTTGAAATATTCATTCCTCCCAAAATTAAATTTCTGGAATTAATAAAATGTGATAGAATTCAAAGTAACCTAAAGATTTTTTTTTGCTCCACCCCCCGCCACCTGCCCCCCAGTATATCCTCCCTGTGTAATGACCTCTCCTTGAATGTGAGTGGGATCTGTGAATATAATGAAATATCATTCCTTTGATTGGATATTACATAACACTTTGTTAAAACCTGGGGAGAGATTCTCCTGCTGGCTTTTTTTGTGTGTGTGAATTTTCTTTTAATTTTTTTATTTTAAAGATGTGGGGTACAATTCAGGGTTAGGTATACAAATGTTCATTATGCAGGTATCCTTGTGGATGAGGTGTGCCCCTTCTCTCCCGGCAGATTCCTACTACTGCCAATCCTTCATCATCTCCACCGCTCCGCCCCCACCAGCAGTTTCCCGCTACTGCCAATCTTTTTCTTATAGGATTGCGATAATTGTTCAAGGTGTGCGTGTGAATGAGAACATGTGATACTCGGTTCTTTGTTTCTGTGATAGATTGGTCAGTATTATAGACTCTAAGTCTATCCAGGTTGTTGTGAAGTTCATGATTTTGTCCTTCTTTATGACTGTGTAATATTCCATCGTGTATATGTACCACATTTTGTTTAATCCAGTCTTCTTTTGATGGGCAGCACAGTTGGTTCCATGTTCTTGCTATTGTGAACAATGCTGCAATAAGCATATGTATTCCTGCTGGCTTTTAAGAAGTAAAGTTATGAGAAGACCAAGTGCAGGAACTTCCTAGAACCTAAGGTGACCTCTAGAAGCTAAGGGTGAAATGCCCTGCCAACAACCAGAAAGAAAACTGGGATTTCAGACCTAAACTTCAAGGAATGAAATCCTGCCAATAACCTTAATAAGCCTGGAAGAGAATCCCAAGCATCAGATGAGATTGCAGGCCTGTTGGCACATTGACTAAAACCTTGTGAGACCTTGAATGGAGGACCCAGCAGACCTGACCCACAGAGAGGGTGAGATAATAAAATTGCATGTTTTATGTCACTAAGTTTGTGGTAATTTTTAACACATCAATAACCATCTAATATAATATCCTTTCTTAATTTATTCTGCATATATTGTGTTTGTCTCTATTTGTGTATGTGCTTGTGTGTAGAGGAGAAAGATTCTGAAATCACTTCATCACTTTATCAAAGAAGCTTTGTAACAATTAAAGCCTAGGACAACTTTAGAACTATCTACTGTGGTTGATGCAGTTGTCACATAAAAAAGAGATTCTCAGTTCTCAATTAACTTCTCAATACTGGGTGCTCTTTATATTCACACAGTGACAGAGACCAAGAGTGAGAAGAAATGTCCAACACAAGCTTCGTGACAATGTTCATCCTCACAGGCCTTCCCCATACCCCAACGCTGGACACGCCTCTCTTTGGAATCTTCCTGGGGGTTTATGTGCTCACTGTAGTAGGAAATCTCCTCATCTTGCTGGTGATCTGGGTGAATTCTCACCTCCACACCCCCATGTACTACTTACTCACTAACCTATCCTTCATTGACATGTGGTTCTCCACTGTCACATTGCCCAAAATGCTGATGACCTTATCGTCACCTGCTGGCAAAGCAATCTCCTTCCACAGCTGCATGATCCAGCTTTATTTCTTCCACTTCCTGGGGAGCACAGAGTGTTTCCTCTACACAGTCATGTCCTATGATCGCTACCTGGCCATCAGTTACCCACTCAGGTACACCTGCATGATGAGAGGGAGAACGTGTGCCCTCCTTGCTACTAGCACTTGGCTCAGTGGCTCTTTGCACTCTGCAGTCCAGACCACACTGACATTCCGTTTGCCTTACTGTGGACCCAACCAGATCCAGCACTACTTCTGTGATGCACCGCCCATTCTCAAGCTAGCCTGTGCAGACACTTCAGTCAATGAGATGGTCATCTTTGTGAACATTGGGGTAGTGGCTGTAGGCTGCTTTCTCCTCATAGTGCTGTCCTATGTATCCATCGTCTGTTCCATCCTGAGAATTCGCACCTCAGAGGGTAGATGCAGAGCCTTTCAGACCTGTGCCTCCCACTGTATTGTGGTCCTTTGTTTCTTTGTTCCCTGTGTTTTTATTTACCTGAGGCCAGGCTCCAGAGATGCTGTGGATGGGGTCGTGGCAGTTTTCTACACTGTACTGACACCCCTTCTCAACCCTGCTGTGTACACCCTGAGGAACAAGGAAGTGAAGAAAGCTCTGTTGAAGCTTAAAGACAAAATAGCACGTTCTCATAGAGGATAATCACTAAAAAGAAAATACACCAATTTATGCAAAATTAGTAATGTAATTTAGTTATCCATGTGAAATTTATTGCACGTATAGTTCTCAGTGTTAAACATTATTCAAAAGTATCTACTTAGTGACATTACTTTCACAGATTGTCTTGGACATTTTTAAAGTTACAACTAGATTTTTATTTATGATGAACAGGCTTATATTTCAATCTGTTTATTCATTTATCTTCAATGGGTTTGTTTAAACTTTTTTTAAAAATAAATATTTTATTTGGACTTCAGGGGCAGAGGGTTGACTCATTCATACATGTAAGTTGATGATATGCTTTTGCCTTTTGTTTTATTTCTTGCGCACACAAAATAAAGAGTTTACAATCATTGGAATATTGCTCGAGGATAGCAACAAATATCAGCGCTAACTATTCTTTTTTGTAACGGTGTCTGTGCAAAAGTCATTTTGCTTGTTTTAGTATATCTGTGTATTTGTGCGTTACATACAAATTCAAATGCATATGTAAAAGAAAGCATATAATATGTAATATATAGATTTGCTAAAGGTAATTCCATGGTCAAGCTCATCTAAAAAAACAAAATATAACTCAAAGATTCACAATACCAGATATCAAAATTTATTACCTATTCAGAGAATGTAGTATTTTTATGAGACTAGACAAATGGAAAAATAGAGCAGAATAGAGAGTAAAGAAATAGACTGATACATATTAATATGACAAATATGATGCTGCAGGATAGTAAGCAAAATGACTTCTCAAAAGTTATTTGAGTTGCAATTTCAGAATAAAAAATATTAAATAATATTGAGCCTATTTCCTACCATGCACAGCAAAAAATCAATTATTTATAGTGGTTAGAAAATATTTATTTATTTAAAGATGTGGGGTACAATTCAGGTTTAGGTATATAAGTGGTTATTGTACAGGTAAAGTTTGGGCCTAATTTTGCTCCTCACTTAGTCTGATTTGAGATCAGGTATGCTTATTGATGTTACATGCCTCCCCTCTCTGGCAGTTTTTGGCTACTGCCAATCCCTTTCTTATAGTACTATGGTAAAAGTTCAAGGTCCACTTATGAGTTAGAGCATATGATACTCAGTTCTTTGTTTCTGTCCTAAATCACTGAGTATTATAGACTTTAAATCCATCCAAGTTGCTGCAAAGTCCATAATTTTGTCCTTCTTTATGGCTGTGTAATATTCCATCATGTATATGTACCACATTTTTTTAATCCAGTCCAGTTTTGATGGGCAGCACAGTTGGTTCTATGTTTTTACTATTGTGAATAGTGCTGCAATAAACATGCATATGCAGGCATCTTCTTTGTAGAATGATTTGGGTTCCTCTGGGTATATTCCCAATAGGGGGATTGCTAGGTCATATGGAAGGTCAATTTCTAGTTCTTATAGAAATTGCCACACTGTTTTCCATAGAGGTTGAACTCGTTTGCATTCCCACCAGCAGTGTAGAAGTTTTCCCTTTTCCCTGCATCCTCACCAGCATCTGTTGTTGTTTGATTTATTAATAATGATCATTCTTACTGGGGTTAGGAGGTAGTTTTGATTTGCATTTCTCTGATGATTAGTGAGGCTGAGCATTTTTTCATGAGTCTGTTGGCTGCCCATACAGCTTCTTTAGAGAAGTGTCTATTCATGTCTTTTGCCCTCTTTTGAATGGGGTTATTTGTTTTTTTTCCTTTTGGCATGTTTGGGTTCCTTATAGATCCTAGATGTTAGGCTTTTCCATGAGTATGGAATATTTTTCCATTTGTTTGTGTCATGTTTGACTTTGAGCAGTGTTTTGTAGTTTTCGTTGTAAAGATCCTTCACTTCTCTGATTAGGAAGATGCTGAAGTATTTCATTTTTTTGTGTGTGGCTATTGTGAATGGGATTGTGCTTTTTTATTTGGTTCTCTGCCTGTTTGCTGTTGGTGTGTAAGAATGCAACTCTTTCGTATGTTTATTTTGTACCCTGAGACTTTGTCAAAGTCCTTTATCAAAGCAAGAAGGTTTTTGACGGATTTTCTTGGATTTTTGAGATATAAGATCATATCATCAGCAAAGAGAGGTAACTTGGCTTCCTCCTTCCTATTTGAATACCCCTGATTTCCTACTCTTGTATGATTGCTCTAGCTAGGACTTCAAACACTGTTAAACAGGAGGGGAGAGAGTGGGCATCCTTGTCTTGTTCTGGTTTTTAGGGGAAATGTTTCCAATTTCTGTTCATTTAGCAATATGTTGGATGTGGGTTTATCATATATGACTCTTACTATGTTCCCTCTATGCTTAGATGTTCAAGGGTTTTTATTAAGAAGGGATGCTGGATTTATTGAAAGATTTTTCTGCACCTAATGACATAATCATGTGGTTCTTGTTTTTATATCTGTTGATGTATTGAATTACATTAATGGTCTTGCAGATGCTGAACCAGCCTTGCCTCCCAGGGATGAAGCCTACTTGGTCATGGTGGATGATTTTTGAGATGTGTTGTTGGATCTGATTTGCTAGAATCTTGTTGAGAATTTTTGCATCTATGTTCATCAGGGATATTGGCCTGTAGTTCTCTTTCTTTGTCAGATCTTTAGCCAGTTTGAATATCAGTGATGTTAGCTTCATAAAATGATTTGAGGAGAGTTCCATCTTTCTCAGTTGCCTGTAATACTTTCACTAGGATTGATATCAGATCCTCCCTGTATGTTTTGTACAATTCTGCTGGAAATCTATCTGGTCCAAGGCTTTTTTTTTGGCAGGTAGTTTTCTTATGACAGAGTCAATTTACTGGGTTGTTATTGGTCTACTTAGGATCTCAATGTCTTCTTGTTTCAAACTTTGGAGGTTGTGTGATGTCAAATTGTCCTCCATTTCATTTAGGTTATCAAGTTTGTTTCCATACAGGTGTTTCAAGATGCAGTTCTGCTGTTCTGCAGAGGCCACCCTGGAGCAATTCTCTGCCCAGCCATTAGACAATCTGCTTGGTTTCTCTGTCAGTTGCTGTGTCTACCACTACTGGGGTCAATAGCTCCCTCCTCAGCAGCTACCAGTCTTCAGATCTTGGAATCTGGTGGCAAGGCTCTGGAATCCAGTCTAGGTTTGGGAGACCTCTCCCTGTTGCTTCCTTGGGAGCTTGCCTCAGGCTCCCTCCTGCATTTCCTCCACGCTCCTCAATGCCAGTATTCAGCTCACTCCAGCAGTACTTCCCAGGAAAAGCTCCCAACTTGTCTGCTGTTACCTCTCCTGCTCTGATTGCATCTGTGTTTGGTCCAGTGCAGGGGCAGGGCATCTGTCTCTCTGGTATCATGCACTTGGAGTATTCTCTCTGGGCAAACGATGGTCAGTTTCAGAGGGATGTGGAGATATGCCCCCCCCATCACAGGATGCAGGGTGCTCAGGATGCAGGCTGCTCAGAATTAGGTGATATAAAGCAGGTCTCTGCCCAGTCCTAGGGCAGAGAAAATGGCAACAGTCCATGTTTTCTCCTCTGGTTGGGCTCAGCTCCAGGTTTCCTCTCCATGCTTTCTCCACATTCCCTGTTGCCATCCCTGGCCTGTTGCCTCAGGCGGTAGTTTGGGCCAGGTGCCAGGTGTCTTCTGCCTTTTCCTGAGAGATACCAAGGGGGTTGTGGATCTTTCTGTGTGCAGTAGGTGCCAAATTCAGAGCAACAGTAAATTACAGCTGTTTCTGCAGGGGGCCCCCAGGCACTTAATCCCATGTCTCCCTTCAGTTGGACATTCGCTCACCCACTTGCACACACAAATGGATGCAGATGAGTTCTTTTGTGTACTCACCCATGCAGAGACTTGCACACTCTGACTGGCTCCATTGCCATCTTGTCCCTTTCCCAGGTAAAGATATTTTAAAGGAGACAAATAACCAAAGAGTTTAACCAAAAGCAAAATGATACATTAGACTAAAATCATTATGTGTTGAAATATAAATTTTCAAGTTATGCTTTTCATTATTATATAATGAACCTAGTGGTTAATAAGCAAATATAAGAGAAAACACAAAACAATAGGGAAATTAAACCAAATGCTATAAAAGCACTTCAGTTTGTGAGGTAATTACTATTATAACCTCAAATTATGAAGAAAATAAAAACATTAAAAAAATCCTTATGTCCCATGTAAGGCAAAATTAATTTCCAGTGAAGTAAAAATTTAATTAAGGGAAAAACTTTCTTAAAGCATTAAATATTACGTAAGTGGAAACTTACAAACTGGTGTGCAAGAAAACCCTTTTAAAGCAAAATGCCAACACCAGAAAAACATATTGGAATCAACTGATAACATTTTCTAGAACACTGAAAAGTATCTATAGAAATAAAATATTCAAACAATGAAAAATTTGAAAGGGCTTTTTGCCTTACAATAAAATGATGAATTAATGCTCTCAATTTGTAAAATTTCAGATAAATCAATAAGAGAAAGACTATTACCTTAAAAGAAAGAAATGAAGCCGGGCTCGGTGACTCAGCCTGTAATCCTGCGCCTTTGAGAGGCTGAGGTGAGTGAATTGCCTGAGCCCACGGGTTCGAGACCCACCTGGGCAGCAAGACCTCATCTCTACAATAAATCAAAAAATCAGCCGGGCATGGTAGCTCATGCCTGTAATTCCAGCTACTTGGAAGGCTGAGGCGGAAGGATCGCCGGAGCCCAGCAGGTCCGGCGACAGAGTGAGACTCCAACTCAAAAAAAAAAAAAAAAAAAAAAGAAAGAAAGAAATGAATAAAGTTTCTGAAAAACTAGTTTACAAAATGAGATATACACATGATATATCAAAAGTATTTATTCATGTTTGTAAAAACAATGAAAATTATGACAGCAATAAAATGTAATTATTACTTATACAATTGAGAAAGAGTTGTGTATGGTAGATAATTATTTGTGGAAAAAGGCACTCTAAAATTATAAAGAAAAAAATAAGTTTGAGAATTTGGATGTGTTAAACCTCCATACAAAGATAGTGAATGAAACTGCTATGAGGGGCATACCTTATCAAGAAGGGTACCTGCATAATCAACGTTTGTATATCTAACCTTCAATTGTACCCCACATCTTTATAATTAAAAAATCACTGAAATGAAAATACAAAATTAAAAACAAAAACAAAAAACAAAAACAAAGATAATGAATGAGAGAGTGATATGGAGCTGGAGCATGCAAACGAGTGAGGACCTCTATGGATTATGGTCAATTTTAATTTAAGGGCAAGCTGTTGTGTCTCTCAATCACTGGTGAATGGAAAAGGTCAGTCCTCCATTTTTTTATTTTAATTTTTTTAGGTATAAATATTAGGCCTGGGAAGACATGGATTCTACTCAGGAGGATTTAAGTGGGAAGCATATGGGTGATATGTGCTTGCTTATGAAGAACCTTTCATTAGTCTCTTCCTGTTGTTTTTGTACTCACCAAGGGAACCTGAGAACCCAAGAGTAAATAGTTCTCCTGAGGCCCACATCAAATTAAGCTTCTGTTTCCTGCATACCATCTAGTTTGGCCTGTGACTAGAAATGAACCTTTTCTTCTCAAAGCTGCGTATCTGTGCTTTGGATGATATTTTGCAAACTCAACATCTGTACATAGCACGTGGAAAATGAAAAATCTGGGCAAAAAACAGACAAGGTTTTTTTTGAGATGGGTCTTGCCCTGTTATCCAGGTTAAAGTGAGGTGAAACGAACATAGCTTATTGCAACCTCAAACTTCTGGTTTCAAGCGATCTTCCCACCTCAGCCTCTCAAGTAGCTGAGACTACAGGCATGCATTACCACTCCTGGCTCATTTTTAAAATTTTTACAGAGTCTGAGTATGTTGCCAAGGATGATCTTGAACTCCTTACCTCAAGTAATTCTCCCGCCTTGGCCTCCCAAAGTGTTGGGATTACATGCATGAGCCACTGCATCTAGCCTCAGACAAGTTTTAATATTGAAAAGAATCACACTCTGTAAGGTGAGTTTGTAGAAAGGTGGATTTAACGTATTTTTTCCCCTGCTATCCTTTTTTCTTTAATCTTAAATTTACATTCAGCACTAAGATACTTAGTTATGGTTATGACTAGATAGATAGATAGATAGATAGATAGATAGATAGATAGATAGATAGAATACAGAGAGCAATTGAGGGGATCTAAGTAGAGACTAAGTTGCTTCACCATGACTATTCAAGTCAAACATTGACTCTGCTGACTGGGATTCAGGCTTTAAGTTTAAGGCTACCTTGGGCTTCACCTAATGAAAATGTTCATATTTCATAAATCTGATTATAAAGCTATTCTGGGGATTAGTCCTCTTGGTGCAATAGAAATCTTGGCTTCATTTGTTCAATTTTGAAAGTTCTGATATCCATGTTAGAGATTACAGTAAACCTAGCTCTGTTATTTATTTATATATTTAAAAAATATAGCCTCAATATATTTAAAAACACTTCCTGGAAATAGGATACTCTCTGGGATTTGCTAAGAGCAGAGATGCCGGTTTATTTTGTATTGGTGACCCAATTTCACAGTTTTCTCTCACTGAATAATTTAATAACAATTCTGAACTAAGACAACACTGTGTATTAAGTCAAATACCTCATTGCTGCCTAAATTGGAATTGCACAGAATCCCCCACTCTTACATTAGGTCCGTTTATTTTGTTGCAGGTTCTAAGTGTTAAATGAAGAAAAAAGACTTGCAGGAATTGTCTTCTCTTATGGGAGTATCTCCCGGGTTTATAAGTATATGGAGAAGGGGGAGATAGAGGGAAGAAAAATATGCTGTCTAAAAAAGTCACATTTAAAAAATATTCACACATCTAGGATAGAAGGATTATGAGAGAAAGCAGGCCCTAGCCAGGAGATTTCAGTTGAAAGACCATGTAGGAACATAATGTTCTGAGAGCCTCACAGGGAATGGTCAAGTGTAAGAAAACAGGGAGGGCAGGCTTGTAGAAAATTTGGTGGGTTCTTGTTGTTATGGAGTTTTGCTGTTATTCTTATTTTCTTTGAGAGATCTGAGAGAAGCCAAAATAGGCAACAGTTGGAGTACCAATAACAGTACTAGGAATGAAATATCTTAGAAAGACCTAGCTTTTGAGTTGAGCAGGACTCTGGAAACTCTAAGAGAGAGTATTCATTTCTTTCTTGCTAAGATCAATGATGACAACTCTGTGAATCTGCTGCAAGGCACAATGTTGTCTAACTATCTATTACAATTTATTTTGTGCGAAGCACAGTACTGAGTACTTTATATCATATTTAATACTTATAACTTCTTGGTGTGATAGATGATGCCAGTAATGACAACATGTATAGAAACTAGAGGGTGATTTAGGCTTACTGTACATTTTAAAAATATTTATTATTGCCAACAATTAAATTCTTGTTTTATTTTTAAGCTTTTCCTTGAGCCCTGCAAAAAAACCCCAGAATGTTGTAGGTAGAATTTTAAGTACTTCCACTGGTATACATTCCCTATTTAATAACCTTCCTTTGAGCGTGGGTGGTACCTGTGAAAATGATGGAATATCACTCCTTTGATTGCATTGTATTATACAGGACTTTGTTATGGAAAACTGGAGAGAGTTTTAAGTAGGTTATTATGTTTTGAAAAAAACAGGTGGCTAGGATCATAGCACCTACTGTGGCAACTAGAAGCTGAATATGACATTTCTGGCCAACAACCAGCAAAACTGGGACCTTAGTTCTAAAACTAGAGGGAACAGAATTCCATTAATATCCTCAATAATCTTGGAAGAGTATCCGGTTGTAGATCTAGTAATGTTGATGAAAACTTGATGAGACCTTGAGCAGAGGGCCCAGCTGGCCTGTCCCACTGAAAGGGTGAGATTTAAATTTGCATGATTTAGGCCAAAGAGTTAGTGGCAATTTTTAATGCACCAATAAAATCTAACTTTTTCTACTATCATCTGCATATATCTGTGTCTATTTATGTATGTGTCTTTGAGCAAGAGAGACACTGAAATCATTTCGTCTTCACCGTTATCAAAGGAGTTTTGTAACCTGCAATGGTAACTAGAAGCTGAGAGTGACGTGCAAAGTCTAGGATAACTTCAGAATTATCTACCATGGTTGATGTAGTTGTCACATAAGAATAGATTCTCAGTTCTTAACTAACTTCTCAATCTTGGGTACTTTTTATATTCCCACAGTGACAGAGGCCAAGGGTGAGAAGAAATGTCCAATGCAAGCTTTGTGATAACATTCATCCTCACGGGCCTTCCGCATACCCCAGCGCTGGACACTCCCTTCTTTGGAATCTTCCTGGGAATTTATGTGCTCACTGTGGTGGGAAATCTCCTCATCCTGTTAGTGATCTGGGTGGATTCTCACCTCCACATCCCCATGTACTACTTCCTCACCAACCTGTCTTTTATCGACATGTGGTTCTCCAGTGTCACAGTGCCCAAAATGCTGATGACCCTGTTGTCCCCTGCTGGCAGAGCCATCTCATTCCACAGCTGCATGGCCCAGTTCTATTCTTTCCACTTCCTGGGAAGCACTGAGTGTTTCCTCTACACAGTCATGTCCTATGATCGCTACCTGGCCATCAGTTACCCACTCAGGTACACCAGCATGATGAGCGGGAAAGTGTGTGCCCTCCTGGCCATTAGCACTTGGCTCAGTGGTTCTCTTCACTCTGCTGTCCAGACCATATTGACATTTCGTTTGCCCTACTGTGGACCTAATGAGATCCAGCATTACTTCTGTGATGGACCACCACTTCTCAAACTGGCCTGTGCGGACACTTCAGCCAATGAGGTGGTCATCTTTGTGAGTGTTGGAATAGTGGCCTCGAGCTGCTTTCTCCTCATAGTGTTGTCCTATGTGTCCATTGTCTGTTCCATTCTAAAGATCCGCACCTCAGAGGGGAGACACAGAGCCTTTCAGACCTGTGCCTCCCACTGTATCGTGGTCCTTTGTTTCTTTGTTCCCTGTGTTTTTATTTACCTGAGGCCAGGCTCCAGGGATGCTGTGGATGGGTTTGTAGCAGTTTTCTACACTGCACTGACTCCCCTTCTCAACCCTGTTGTGTACACCCTGAGAAATAAGGAGGTGAAGAAAGCTCTGTTGAAGCTTAAAGACAAAATAGCATGTTCTCCGACGGATAAACACTAGAACAGAAATACGCTTATTTGTTCAGAGTTAGTAATATGGTTGTTATTCATGTGAAATTCATCACATGTGTTGTAGTCAGTGTTAAACATTGTTCAAAAGCATCTACTCAGTTATATTTCTTTTGTAGATTGTCTTAGATATTTTTAAAATCACGACTAGATTTTTATTTATGATGAACATGCTTATAATTCAATGTTTTACTCATTTATCTTCAATAGAGTTGTTTTACCTTTTTAAAAAGTAAATATTTTAACTGGATCTCATGGTCAGACTGTTGAATCATTTATTTATGTAAGTTTATATGCTTTATTTTTGGGTTTATTTCTTGTGTACACAATGAAGAATTCATAATCATTGTATGTTGTGAAATGATAGCAACCAATATCAGAGGTAAGTTTTCTTTTTGTTGCTGTGACTTCAAGAATCTTTTTGGTTGTTTAGTGTGTCTGTATTTTTTGAATATACAAATCCAAACATATATGCAAAAAGGTATATAATATAATAAATATATAGGTTTGCTAAAGGAAATTCCTTGTATATATGTGTATCTGTATACGTTATTTTTAGAAACAGAATTTGTAATATACAAAAATGGCCAACCATTCAAATAATTATCTACCAATGAATGAGAAACTGTTGTATATTCACACAATGAGTTGCTACACAGCAATGAGAGCATATGATCTACAATTTCATGTATAATGGTTTATGTAATTTACTTTTTCAACTGCTTATTTATGTTTGTTAGGATTCAATATAAAAATTAAACCTCTTAAAATCTACCTCAGCCGGGCTCGGTGGCTCAGCCTGTAATCCTGGGCTTTGGGAGGCTGAGGTGAGTGGATTGCCTGAGCTCGTGGGTTCGAGATCCGCCTTGGGAACTTGGCGAGAACTCATCTCTACAATAAATCAAAAATTAGCCGGGTGGGGTAGCGTGCGCCTGTAGTTCCGGCTACTTAGAAGGCTGAGGTGGAAGGATCGCCGGAGCCCAGCAGATCGAGGCTGCGGTGGCTGGGAGCGGCCACTGCACTCCCGTCTGGGCGACAGAGTAAGACTCCAACTCAAAAAAAAAAAAAGATCTAGCTCACTGGGGACCTTTTGCTCCACAGGATCACTTGACTGGAGATATTGTTGCGTATCACAAGTACTGGGATCTAGTGGTAGAAGTCAGAGATGCTGCCAAAAATCCCACAATGCACAGGACAGGCCCCCAAGACTTATCTTGCCCCAAATGTCAATAGTTCTGAGATTGGGAACTCTGATCTGAATTTAATTTTAAATAAATATGTGTAAGACTATGACAATGGAAATTACAGTATTTTGAGAATAATATGTGTTGCTGAAAAAGTCAAGAATTATAATGTGCACATGGAAGACTCATATTTTAAACATACCAATTCTCTTCAAATTGTTCTATAGATTCAATGCAATTCAAAATTAAATCCCAGCATTTGATGTTGTAGATATGAACATGTGGATCATAAGTATATATTGAAATGAAATGAGTTCCCCCAAATGATCAACATAATCTTGAAGAAATAACACATAACTGAAATATTCAAAATACCAGATATCAAAATTTATTATGATGCTATAGTTATTCAGAGAATGTTGTATTTGGATGAGGCTACTTAAATATCAAATATGGAACATAATAAAGAAATAGATTGATAGCATATTCATATGACAAAGAAGACACTGCAGCACTGTAAAGCAAAAATGAATTCTTCAATAAGTTATTTTGGGTTATTTGGGTATTCAGAAAGAAAAGAATAATATTTTTAATCTTATCTCACAGTATAGACATCAAAGTTGTTAGGAAATAGAAATGTTGTAGACTTCATGATATTAGTTTATGTAAATATATTTTGAAGAAAATAACAAACAGAAAAGCATAACCAAAAAAGACACATTAGACTAAAATTACTGTTTTAAAATATAAATTTTGCACCTCAATTTTTTTTTATAATGATAAACCTAGAGGTTAATAAGAAAATTATAAGAGAAAAACGAAAACAATTGACAAATTTTTTCCTCTATTTTATTTTAAAGATGTGGGTACAAGTCACATTTAGGTACATAAATGATCTATGTACAGGTGAAATTTGGGCCTCCCACTGTTCCTCACTTCCCTTGGTTTAGAATCAGGTACCCTCAAGGGATGTTATGTGACCCCTTTCCCTCCCCCGGAAGTGTTCTTCTACTGCCTATCCCTCTCTTGTATTATTGTGATAAATGTTCAGGACCCAATTATGAGTGAGAACGTGTAGTATTCAGTTCTTTGTTTCTGTGATAGATCACTGAGTATGATAGACACTAAATTCATACAACTTGCTGCAAAGTCCATAATTGGGTCCATTTTATGACTGTATACTATTCCATTATGTATATGTCCCACATTTTTCTTATCCAGTTCACTTTCAATGGACAGCATGGTTGATTTCACACTTTTGCTATTGTGAATAGTGCTGCAATAAACTTACATGTGCAGGTATCTTTTTTTGCAGAATGATTTGTGTTCCTCCAGGTATATTCCCAGAAGGGGTTGCTGGGCCATATGGAAGGTCAATTTCTAGTTATTCTAAAAACTGCCATACTACTTTCCATGGGGATTGAACTAGTTTGCACACACACCAGCAGTGTTCTACCCTAGTGTCCTTACCCCACATCCTTGCCAGTGTCTGTTGCTGTTTGATTTATTAATGATGGCCCTTCTTACTGGTGCTAGGTGATATCTCAGTGTGGTTTTGATTTGCATTTCTCTGACAATTAGTGATGCTGAGAATTTTTTCATGTCTATTGGCTGCTTGTATGTCTTCTTTTGAGAAGTGTCTATTCACGCCTTTTGCCCACTGTTTAATAGGGTTTTTTCTTTCCCTTTCCACTCAATTAAATTCCTTATAAATCCTGAATATTAGCCTTTGTTAGATATACAGTTAAACAGACAGTTAACAGACATTTTTTTCCCTCTGTGGGCTGTCTCCCTGCTCTCTTGATGGTTTCTTTGGCTTTGTAGAAGCTTTTCATTTTACGAGGTCCCACTTGTCTTATCTTATCTTTTGGGATTATGATCAAGAATCGGTTACCTATTCCAGTGTGCATAAAGGTGACCTCTGTATTTAATAAGACTCTTATAGTTTGAGGTTTTACATTTAGGTCTTTGATTCATTTAGAGTTGATTTTTGTGTATGGTGATAGGTAGGGGTCCTGTTTTATTCATTTGCATGTGGTCAGCCTGTCTTCTCAGCATCATTTGCTGAATAGAGTCTCCTCTCTCCAGTGGTTGTTGGTGGTGGTTTTGTTGAAGATGAGTTGGTTGAGAAATTGAGGTTTTGCATCCAAAATCTCTATCCTGTTCCATTGGTCTATATGCCTATTCTGGTACCAGTATTAGGCTGTTTGATTATTGTAGCCTTATAATAAAGTTTAAAGTCTGGTTGTGTAATACTTCCTGCTTTGTTTCTTTTGTTGAGGATTGGTTTAGCTATTTTCAGTCTTTTTTATTTCCATATGAATTTCTGTATTGTTGTTTCCAGGACTGAGAAGAATGATGTTGGTAATATGATGGGTATTGTGTTGAACATGTAGATTGTCTTGGGTATGATGGCCATTTTTACAATATTGATTATTTTTCCATTCGTTTGTGTCTTTGATTTTTTTGAGTAGGGATCTGTAGTTTTTGTTGTAAAGGTCTTTCACTAGGAAGATGTCAAAGTACTTCATTTTTTTTTTGAGGCTATTGTGAATGGAATCGTGCTTTCTGTCTGGTTCTCTGCCTGTTTGTTGTTGGTGTATTAAAATGCAATGATCTTTTGCACATTGATCTTGTACCCTGAGTCATTGCCAAAGTCATTTATCAGTGCTAGTGTGGTTTTTGACAGATTCCTTTGAGTTAACAACTGAAAATGTAAACCAAATTCCTAAAAATAACGCTTCTATTAAAAAATTTTAAAATTGAAATTCAAGTTATATAGAAAATACAAATATCTTTATGAGCCACATAAAGTAAAATTAATTTCTGTTGAAGTAAGGATTTAAATAAAGGAAAAACTATCTTAAAGTCTTGAATATTACATAAATGAAACCTTCCAAATTAGTCTGCAAGAAAATCCTATTAAAGCAAAATATCAATGCTATTTTTCCCCCACCCCTCCCCTGGCAGAGTCCTGCTACTGCCAATCCCTTTCTTATAGTATTATGATAAATGTTCAGGGTCTGTTTATGAGAGAGAACATAGAGCACTTAACCTGATCCTAAACTAGGCAAAGTGGGGGCCAAAGGGAGGCCCAAACTTTACCGTATTATGGCCACTTATCTATCTAATCCTGAATTGTACTCCACAACTCTAAAGTAAAAAAAAAAAAAGTACAAATAAAAAACCAAAATATCAACATCAGAAAACATATTGGAATCAACTGAAAGAATTTCCTGGAATACTGAAAAATAGCTATCAAAGTAATAGCTATTTTAACTTAAAATTAAAATTTGGAGGCACATTTTACCTTTCAACAAAATAATGAACTAAAGTTCTCAATTTGTAAAATTTCAGATAAATCAATATGAGAAAGACTACTGCCTCAAAAGAAAGAAACGAATAAAGTTTCTGAAAAGCTAGTATCAAAAGTGCTTACTCATGTTTGTAAAGCAATGAAAATTATGACAGCAATAAAATATAATTATTATTTATACAACTGGGAAATAATTATGTATGGTAGGTAATTATTTGGGGAAAAGTCACTTTAAAACTATAAACGAAAAAACAAATTTGAGAATCTGAATGTGTTAAAACACCATATGAACATGGTAAATGAGAGAGTGAGATGGAACTAGAGAGCACAAAGAAATGAGGACCTCTGTGGATTCTGGCCAATTTTAAGTTGCGGGCTAGCCACTGTGTCTCTCAATCACTCAGCTGGGCCCTGAGTGAGGGAAAAGGCTAAGTCAGTCCTTCTTCTTTATAAATATTAGGTCTGGGAAGACATGGACTCTACATAGGAGGATTCAAGTAGGAAACATATGGTATGATATGTGCATGCTTATGAAGAACCTTTCATTGGTCTCTTCCTATTGTTTTTGCACTCACAAAAGGAACCTGAAAACCCAAGAGTAAATCATTCCCCTGAGCCCCACATCAAGTTAAACTTCTACCCATTTTCATTTCTGTTCCCTGCACACCATCTAGTTTGGTCCGTGAATAGAAATGAACCTCTCTTTCTCATGCTGCATATTTGTATTTGAATGATATCTTGCAAACTTAGCACCTGTACATAGTATGTGGAAAGTGAAAAATTTGGGCAAAAAATGGAGACAAATTTTAATATTGAAATGAATTACATTCTGGAAGGTGAGTTTGTAGAAAAGTAGATTTAACTATTTTTTTCCCTTGCTTCACTTCTTTTCTTTATCTAAAACTTCTTTTTGAGTTAGATATTTAGTTATGGTTATGACTTTTTAAATAAAATCAGATAGATAGATAGATAGATAGATAGATGATAGAGTAATTGGGGGATCTATAATAAGTAGAGACTAACTTGCCTCACCATGACTATTCACGTCAAACATTGACTCTGTTGACTGGGACTCAGACTTTAAGTCTAAAGCTATCTTGGACTTCACCTCATAAAAATATTCATATTTCATCAAATCTGACAATGAAGCTACCCTGGGGATTAGTCCTCTTAGTCCAATATAAATTTCAGAGTTTCATTTATTCTATTTTGAAAGGTCGTCTCTCCATGTTTGAGATTACAGTAATCCTGACTCTGCTATTTATTTATATATTTCAAAAATATGATATTAATGTATTTAAAGCCTTTCCTGGAGGTAGGATACTTTCTGATAAGAGAAGAGATGCTGCCTTTTTTTGTATTAGTGACCCAGTATCATGGTCTTCTCTCATTGAACAATTAATGACAATTTTGAACTAAGACAACATTCTGTGTTAGTCTAACACCTCCTTGCTGCCTCAGTTTCAGTTGTATAGAATCTCAACTTCTTTTCATATCAAGCTGACATAGGTTTCTACTCTTACATTAGGTCTATTTTTCCTGTCTCAAGTTCTAGATGTTAAATAAGAAACATAGACTTGCTGGAATTGTCATCTTTTATGGGAGTGTCACCTGGGTTTATTAACAGGATGAGAAGGAAGATGGAGAGAAGAAAAACATGATTTCTAACAAAGCCAATATTAGAAAATATTCAGACATCTAGGGTTGAAGGAGTGTGAGAGAAAGCTGACCCCCACCCAGTAGATTGCAATTGAAAGAGCATATAGGGGTATAATGTTCTGAGATCCTCACAGGGCGTGGTCAAGTATAAGAGAAACAGGGACCAGGTTTGTAGAAAGCTTGAGTCATTTTGGAGGCTTGTGGAGTCACACTATGAAGTTTTGCTGATATTCTTACCTTCTCTGAGAGAAGTTCCTTAAAAGTAAGCAATAGTGGGGGCATCAGTAACAGTACCAGGAATGAAATATTCTACAAAGACCTAGCTTTTTTTTTTTGAGTTGGAGTCTCACTCTGTTGCCCAGACTGGAGTGCAGTGGCCGCTCCCAGCCACCGCAGCCTCGACTGCTGGGCCCCAGCAATCCTTCTGCCTCAGCCTTCCAAGTAGTCGGAATTACAGGCATACGCTACCACGCCCAGCTGATTATTTGATTTATTGTAGAGATGAGGTCTCGCCGCCCAGGCGGGTCTCGAACCCGCGGGCTCAGGCAATC